TGTGGACCATCCAATTTTTGGATCTCATTGCACTGCAAATGAATTAGCTGAGGAAAGGGTTGTGGTCAATATTTGCAATCCATTTCTTCTTTTTCCTTAGCCACTCGCTGAACTGCATTGATCTGCTCAGCCAGAAGGGCCTAAAGTTAGTCCCAGGTTTATGCTGAGCTGACTCACCTGTAGAAAATGCAGTTGGCTTCTGTATACATGGATTTAGAGACTTTAATCAGCCCACCATCCTGCTCAAACGTGGCAGCACAGTCTTGAAAGGCATCCGACCATGACTCTACCTCCTAATTTTTTTTTTTTTTTGTCGACCTTCCATTTCTTTTCTGTTTCTCAGACATTTCCATGAATTATAGACAAAGGTGAATAGCAGAAAAAAACTTCAGTATTCCACTCATCTGTCCACTGAGGTAGTCTGAAACTTTGTAAACAACATGCCTTATTCAAAGCTGAGCCTGAGCAACAGCTCAAATGTCTTGAAACTTACTAAAAATGTGCCAATATGACTTGAGAAAACCAGGGGACCAGTTGGTTCTGAATGTGATTTGAATGACATGATGGAATTTGAGATCCATTTCTGTGGTTAAGCTTGATGTCAGTTAAAGGAAGGGACTAATGTTCCAAATAAAACTTTGTCCATTGTCAGGATTTAAAAGGGCCAAATCTGCCTTCATATGGCTTATTATGTAACCCTGCAATCTTTGATTTACAGTTGCAAGTCCCTTTTTGATTAGGGTCTGGATGTACATATCTGGCTGCTCTGGGGCATTCTGATTCCAATAACATCTAAATTGCAAAGACACATCAACTTTGTAAAGTCTGTTGTAGTTCTGCTTGGTGATCTGGGGTCTGAACACTTCTGTCTTGAATAGTGAACCTTTGAGTTTTGCGTCTGGTTCTTGCTACTTTTTCAAATATATACAGTTGCATGATTCTTCAGTGTGCATGTGTATGGAGGTAATTTTATTTAGTGTGAAGCAGAATTTCTGATTTTTGTCCTGATTTTGATGCATCCGAGTGACTTAGTCGGCAACTTGGGAACACAAACCCATTCAGTGTACGACTGGAGGAACATATAGACCTGACTGGGTGAGGACATGCATGAACTAATTAATGGGAGAGCTGTGGCCTTCTGCTTAATTTATCTAACTGGAACTCCTTTTATTTGCTGATGCATATCAGTAATGTTACCTGACTTACAATGGCAGCTTGTCAACTTCCATCCTTTAATATTTCACCACTACAATGCAAATTTCATGTACATGTCCTGTTTAATCCTCCCCATAAATTAGATCCTCCACTCTTACTCAGAGTAGAGCTCATTTCATTATTCACTACCTTTTTTTTTCCCAAGCTGGTAACCTTCCAATATATGTAACAGAGATTATGGCTTCATCTAATGAGTTTATAGGACTGTATTTTTGATCCCATCATTCATATAGTTTTACCAATGTAACCAGGTAAAATGTTACCAGTGTTAACTACAACTCATTCCTGGTTTTGGCCCATACTTGGGTATTTTAGCCCCATGGAATTTGATTATTATTCTTGTTGGCTTTTCAGAGGGTGGACGTTTTCCTTTATCCGGAACAATCAGAAGTCCAGGTGCTGAATCGAGATGCTATACAGTACTGCTTAATAAGCTATACTGTAAATTGGAATAGAAAGAATGTCCACACTAAAACTTCTGACACTTTTCATGCGTTTTAATTCTGATCACTGGTTTCTAAAGCCTAGCACTTCCAGAAGATTAGAATAGCATTTATGACAAATGTTTATTATGACTGAGAATACTGTATTTGAATCTGCTCAGTTAGTGTAACGGGATTATTATTGTTGTGCATTGGGATACTGTTATCTGGCCAGCTCTACACTTAAAGGAAACTTGCAACTGGAAATTCACTGAAGGCACAAATTGTCCTTTTTTTTTCAAATAGGTCAACATTAACTCTGCTCGATTTTATTCAGTGTTTTAATCTCATACTAAAAGCTGCTTTTTCTATGTGTGTGTGAACAGTTAAAACTGTGCAGTTGCTGTTTAGATGGATCCTATGAAATGTAATGCTGTTTTATGCCAGGTGTTACCATATGCCTTAAATGTTTAATAAAATGCATACATAAAACCGAAAAGTTTTGATTCTGGAAGCTTTGATCTTAAAAGGGTTTGTTATGCCTCAGTTAGTATGTCAGTTTGTTTTCAAAGACATGCTTGTGATATCATCACTATTTTAGCATGTGACTTCAGGGTGTAAAACACAGACTCCATCTTATCTGGAGCCACTTGAAGCATGACAGTGATGAAAGTTATATTGGCTGGCTTAGTATTAGGCTATTCAGTAACACTGAATTGTCTGTGAATCACAGCTCACTTAGATGTTAACATGTAATAAACAATGTTAGATTTTTTTCATGACCGTGTTACCCACATTTGGATTCTTGTGAGGGGATATGGGCATTGCACCCTTGGGTAAAATGCCAATTTTATTGGAGGCAAAACACACAATACTAGATCAAAATACAGCACTGTGGATTCTGGAAATCTGAAATGAAAATAAATGCTGAGTGGTAATATCTGTGGAGAGAGCAGCAGTTCCAGGTCTCTCTCCTTTTAACGATAGAGATATGGAGCATTTTGAATGAAAGGCTATTCATCTGAAACATTTTAACTGTTTCTCCCCACAAATACCTGCCTGACTGAATTCATCCAACTTTACCTTATTTCAAAAGAAGTGGCTTTTCTTGCATTCAATACCATCTGGGTCTTACTGTAAAAACTATCAACAGAAATCATTCTCCCACATTGTGTTTTGAAATTAATTTGTGAATACACACTCAGGATCTAAGTTTTTAAATTGGAAAATATTTTTCCTCTATTATTTTATGAATAACAGTGGTATACAATCTGCTCAAAAATTGCAACCCCAAAGTGATGGTAAAGTCTTCTGTACAATGTACACATCTTCAGGTTTTAGCTGTTCGGCTGTGAGCTCTTCCAACCCTTCTGGCTTTGTTTGATTTTGTTTTTGTTATGTTACCTTAAGTAACATCCTCCGCGTTAATGTAACGCTGAACTTTTTTTTTCCACTCCAATTGTAAGGCCAGATGGAATCTTAGCAAAATCTTTCAATTTAACTGCTTCTTGACAGTTTAGGCACTGCTGCACTAATGCACTGGATGTCAGGTCCCCAGGTTGGGAGCTTGAGCCTTTAACCACTAACTGAGAAAGGAATACGCCTAATGAGTCAAGTCTGACTTCCTCCAGTTTCGTGTTCTTGCAATCTGTCACTTCATGCGCCACACAACATTGAACAGGCCCTTTGGCCCACCATGTCCATGCCAATCAACAAACACCAAACTAAACTAAATCGATTTACCTGCATTGGTTTGTAGTCTACTACGCACTGGCATTTTTAAGAGATTGTCTAGATGTGGCGAGAGAACCTAACTCCACTATCCTCGGGCAGCATGTTCCATATATCTACAACCGTCTGGGTGGAAAAGATTTTTCTTCCAGTCCCCTCTAAACCACTTACTCCTTACCTTTTAAATTTATGCCCTCTGGCCTTGGGCATATCTGCCAAAGGGCATAACTTTGTGTATATATACCTCTATCAAAACCTCACCCCACCCAGTCTCCTGTGCACCAGGGAAAACAAACCCAACCTATCCAGTTGCTTCTCATAACTGAGACTTTTCATCCCTGGCCATATCCTGGTGAATCTCCTCTGCTACCTCCAATGCAGTCACATCCTTCTGATTGTGCAAGTCCGGTTGCTACACACATTATTTCATCGGTGGCCTAACCAATGCTGTATAGTTGCAACAAGACTGCCCCACTCCTATAGTCTATGCACTGGCTAACGAAGATGAGCATCCTGTATACTGCCTTCACCACCAACTATCTACCTGTGCTGACACCTTCAGGGATCTGTGGACTTGTACACTAAGGTCCCTTTATTCCTCAGTACTACTTAGCATTCATTTGTGTAAATCCTTCATGATACTATTCCTTTTAAGAGATGTATTTTGTCCTTTTTTTTTTTGTACACCCACAAAAGTTGAGACAGATGCCAAACAGACTGTTCAAAGCCAACAAATAGCTTGTGAGGCCTTGGTTCTTTTTTTTTTAAAAGAAAAGCTTGGAACAATAGAAACAACCTGAATGGGTGAGGTCTGGATCCCACCAGGGTTTTCTTTTTTTTGTTTTAGCTTTTTGCAGTTGCTGGGGTCTTGAAGCTGGACGTGCAAGTTCTTATTCCTCTTGCTGTCTCTCGTGCCATTTTAGCTGCAACAATCTATTTTTACTGAAGTTGCCTTTGCCAAGGGTATGTTTATGGGTTGTTACTATATTCGAACAGTTAACTATTAATGTAGCTATTCTTAAGCATTTGATACAGTTACAGTTCATTCATTTCCTTTTTACCTGTATTTTTAATTTTATGAAAATAAAGTGTATTTTAATTAACATTGGATAATTTGACCAATTGAATTATATCTGGAATTCAGTCTTACACTTACCCTAACTACTTATTTTAAAAAGGTCTAGACTACCTTAATATATTTTGAGTGGGTTTTGTCTGGTCCATAACTTCCCATATTAGACCTCCCAAAATGCAACACTCTCATTCATCACCTAGCAGTGTAAGTTTCAGCAAATGTTGAAAATATAACACTGGGTTTTGGGGTAGTAATGACAGCAAAAGTGATGACATTTGTCAATTGTTTCAGAAATGTAAATTAACACCTTCTGCAATCTAATCATACAATTAAACAGTGAAATCCAAAACGTGCTTCTCCAATGAACATGCAGTTCTTCTCCCTAGTTTGAATGCCCAGCTGAAGTCTCAACAATTAGAAATCATTGAACTGATGAATTTGTTCCTTTTCTTCTGCTCTTAGTCTGTCCATTTAAAAATCCAAATTTGTGCCTTGTTGCATGCGGTGTGACTGGGTTTTAATGAGGTCTGTACTTCAAAATTACTACAGGAAATCTCTTTGGCTCCGCAAAGGCTAATTTTATTTGTGGAATGTAAAATTCTCAATTGCACATTTCAGTTTTTTTTAATTTCTTTTATATCTGGTTTCTAAGACATCAGTGCTGGAGGTACTCAAAATCGGAGACACCTTCAGATGAATGATCAACAATAGAGGATTTCACAGCTTACTAATCTTGACAGGCAAACACCATTGCTTTGCTGATTGCAAATTCTGACTTAAATGATTCAGTATTTTAAAATGATTCTTTGGTTACAATTTTTTTTGTTTTTCATGTCATTTGTATCATCAGCTTGACTGCTTGCTTAAACATTTCTCTTGGTGTATCAAGATTTTCTATCTAATTTGTACCTTTTTGTGCATTTTAAAATATTTTTAAAAAATCTTTCACTGAATAAAGGCATTACTGGCTAGGCCAGCGTTTATTGCCCATCCTTAGCTGCCCTCAGGACAATTAAGAATCAACCAGATTTCTATTGGTCTGGAGATGCCTGTAGGCCAGATGAGATTAGGATGGCAGATTTCCATCCCTAAAGAACATGAATTTTTCTGACAATGGTTTCACGGTCATGGTTAGATTCTTGATTCATAACATCATACAATGACTATTGATGGAGTATTGCTGTATTGAAAGAAAAATTAATTACAATAATTTGTAATGTAATAACGAAAATGTTTTCATTGCAAGTGTGTAAGCTACAATCTGGAATTGACGGGGATTGACATTGAAGCTAATTTTGAATCCAACATATGAGATTCCTGAACAATTTCGGCAAAAAGAAAAGCATGATGCAAAGACACTACTTGTTGCAGGCTCTACACCAGTTGAGACTCTTTCTTTGATATCTTGTTTATCTTAACCTTTTGGTTTTTCTTTTTAAAAAAAATTGAAATAAGCATGCAGTAAAATATGTACATTTAAGGCTCTTCCACTGACTTGACATTGTAGTTCAGATTTCATTGAATACCATGGCTCTCCAAAGCTGCCAAAACGTTCTTCAAATAACTTGAGTCTGGATAACCTTGCCTGTAAAACATAAAGTTTTTTTTTTCAGGAATTTTAATCCACATTTACTCCACAAATGAAGCATTAATTTGGTTTGTGGCTGAACATGTATGTAATTTTGAAAAGTAGCATCATCAATCAATTATCTATGTTCCAACATGCTAATGGAGTACTCCAATTGAATTAATAGCTCAATGTTTTAACCCCTCATAGCCATAAATTGCTGAGTAACCAGACATTTTAAAGGTCACAATGTTAAATTTATTGCTCCCTTTGCATTTGCCAGCATTTTCATGTTTCTGACTTTGCTTCCCTCCTGCCATCATACCATAGATGTGCTTATCATCCTGACCTATTGACGTAACTTTCCTCACTCCACTCAGTTGTTGCCTAATCTGAGATTTGTAACCTTCTATTTTAGAATTGGGTTTGCAACAGGTGCAGTTTGCTTTCATGATGAGGTTTAATTCGCATCCAATATTTCCAGAAGCATCCACATTAGAATACAGCAGAATTTCAGTATTTGCAGGTCTCCCCTTCAGCTTTGGCTTTCAGTTTTGTACTTGATTAGGAATGTGTCTTTTTTTAAAAAATTTTTTTGTTTTTTTTTTCCACAGCCATTAGCTTGAAGTATAGGGACTTTAAAATTTATGTTTCAGATTCAGCTGTGATCACACAACTCCAAGTCGTTCAGTATTCTTTGTTCAAGTATTGAGATCCAATCACAATTTCCTTGATTTTTCTCAGCATTACCACTAGCTTCCCCCTATTTGAGCTATCCTGCAGTCTTTTTTTTTCATTCTTCTTTTCAGGGATTCACTGGCTAAGCCAGCATTTATTGCCCATGCCTAGTTGACTAGAGCCAGATGAGAGTCAATGTTATTGCTCAGCCTACAGTCACGTGTAGGCCAAAGCAGGTAAGGACAGCATCTCCTCCTCGGAAGGATGTGCGTGAACCTGGGTTCTGGGACAAGGGTATATCAGGGACCAATTTCCAGCACCCTACAAGTCTGCTGTGTTCAGGTCAGGGTGGAAAAGGGTTCATAACTTCTCTCCTGGCCCTGAGTGAACAAAATTTATTTTTATGACTTTCATCAGTGATTAAATGATTACTCTTAAGTTAGTTTTTTCGAATCCAATGAAAATCTGGAATACAGTTCCCTATCTGCTATGGTGGGATTCAAATCTGTGTCCCCGGAACATTAGCCAGGGGTTTTGAAATACTAGTCCAGTGACGTTAGCAATGTGCCATCACCTCCCGCAGATCCATATCCTCTTCACCCTATCTGGCACTATCGGTTAAATTCCTTTATCTTTATTCTTGGATATCGAGCACAGCAGACTTTAGCAGCTAATGCCAGCACCCTTTGGGCAGATTCTAACTGATCGCGATGGACTATGAGCTCAAACGTTCAGTGCTTCCTCTGCTTTTGTGCATGTCTTTGACAAGTGCTCTTCCTGCTCTGTCCCTCATTCCTGTTACATAGCTGATGCATTCTGCTACCTTACTTCCTCACAGCCTGTTACTCTTCTTTTTCACTTCGACCCACTTTATGGCAACATCAAACTCGGTCTTCCCCTCTAACCAAGATTTTTTTAAAAATATATTTCTCTCCAAGTCAAGAGGCTCTACAATTGTATTTCCCAGATAACCGATTCCTCCTAAGTCACGTGTTTCTTTGTAACCAAACTGCTGCTGAGCTTGCAGTGTGCTAGTCTCAGATTCAACCTCGCCATTACTATTGAACCTAATGAAATCATCATGATCGCTATCTTCCTTTTTGTTTTTGAGCAGTAGATCCTGGTAACAGCAGGGACAATTCCACCTTGATTTTTTTTTTAAAACTCCAGCTCCACCACACCCGGCACTTTTCCCTGCAACCGCAGGAAGTGCTACACCTGCCCCCATACCTCCTCCCTCACCCCCATCCCAGGCCCCAAGAAGACTTTCCACATCAAGCAGATGTTCACCTGCACATCTGCCAATGTGGTATACTGCATCCGCTGTACCCGGTGTGGCTTCCTCTACATCGGGGAAACCAAGCGGAGACTCGGGGACCGCTTTGCAGAACACTTACGCTCGGTTCGCAACAAACAACTGCACCTCCCAGTCGCGAACCATTTCAACTCCCCCTCCCATTCCTCAGACGACATGTCCATCCTGGGCCTCCTGCAGTGCCACAACGATGCCACCCGAAGGTTGCAGGAACAGCAACTCATATTCCGCTTGGGAACCCTGCAACCCAATGGTATCAATGTGGATTTCACAAGTTTCAAAATCTCCCCTCCCCCCACCGCATCCCAAAACCAGTCCAACTCGTCCCTGCCTCCCTAACCTGTTCTTCCTCCCACCTATCCCCTCCTCCCACCTCAAGCCGCACCTCCATCTCCTACCGACCAACCTCATCCCGCCCCCTTGACCTGTCCGTCCTCCCTGGACTGACCTATCCCCTTCCTAACTCCCTACCTACACTCACCTTTCCTGGCCCCATCCCCGCCTCTTCGACCTGTTTGTTTCCTCTCCACCTATCCTCTCCTCTATCCCTCTTCTATCCGCCTCCCACTCTCTCCCTATTTATTTCAAAACCCCCTTCCCCTCCCCCTTTTCTGATGAAGGGTCTAGGCCCGAAACGTCAGCCTCTCTGCTCCTATGATGCTGCTTGGCCTGCTGTGTTCATCCAGCCCTGCACCTTGTTGTCTCGGATTCTCCAGCATCTGCAGTTCCTACTATCTCTCACTCCTTAATGAGTCACTTCTACCCACCCTCCTTGTAAACACACCTCTTCCCTTCCATTCCTTTCCCTTCTTCTCTCTTTGACCCTGACTTGCAGATGTTTTAATGTTTTCATTGCAAACTTTTTTCATTCTTGGCGATTGTTGATCTAAACTACTAATATTTCTCTCTTCACAGATGCAGTCTGATCTACTGTGCGTTTCCAGTGTTTTTCTGTTTATTTGGTACATTTTAAACTGACAGGCAATTGACTACAGAATAAATTTGCATTTGAAACCCTTTACAGTCAATGAAGCAACTTTGATTACAATTCAAACATAGTTTGAAAACAGCAAATGAAATGAATGGAGTTATTTGTGGGAGGAACGTTTATTGTGTTAGAACCTCTTTCACATGCAGAACAAGCCCTCGTTTTAGCACCTCATCCAAAATAAACATTCTTCCTATTCTGCAGCAGTCCCTCTGCAATGTACTGCAGAGTCAAACTCCAGGCTCCGAGCAGGGCATGAATTTGCAGGGATGAAATGCAGCATATTCCACTATTTAATCCTCTGTATGTGTAACTTGTTTAGAAATAGTTCAATTCAAACTGTTTAGGAATTGGGATTAACAAAAAAAAGGATATGCATAGGGTTGACTAGTCAAAAAGCCACCACATCACAATTGCAAATTCTGAAGAAAGGTCGCCGAACACGAAACATTAACCCTGCTTTCTCTACACAGATTCTGTCAGACCCGAGTTTCTCCAGACATTTCTGTTTTTGTCTCAGATCTTCAGCTGCAGTTCATTGTTTGAATTTATTACATAAACTGTAGTTTTATGAGCAACCAAAATACAGCTTAATTACCTTCTTTGATGTTTGTTTGGAAACTGTTTTAAGTTTATTCATTGTTACACAATTTCAAATTTAAAAATTGTATTTGTGGAGGCCACACCTGAATGAAATAAGATAGAGGAAGTATTTCAATGCTAGAGTTTTTTTGTGTTTTTTTTAAAAAAATGTATGGTTCTTTCCACGGTCTGATTTTTTTTTAAAAGAAAAAATTTTTTTTTCCTCCGAGTAGACTCTTTTTTTAAGAATATCATCCAAAGTGAAATTTTAAAGTTAATCTGTAAAATGTGATGTTGAGCGAAAGATGTACCAGTTGGTAGCTAAAGATCAGTCTTATTGTCTCTGCCACAGAGAAACAACAACCAAACTGTTTGAGAGAAGGTGTGTTGGGGGCAGGAAACTTACTGAGATACTCCTCCACTTGTCTTTGTTTTGTGAGGGATATCATTCCATGTCACCCGAGCCAATCCTGAGGGACCAGATACTATTTTGAAGGTCAGGCCTCTAGTAAAGGCTTCTCTTAACAGCCTTAAGATCTTTTTGCCGTTAGCATTATCTGGCAAAAAGGCTTGAAAGATACCGCCTTTAAAAGGTTGTCCTGGGTTTGGATCACATTCCTATAAAAGAAAAAGAAATGAGTACTCAAAGCAGAATTTTTTTTTTGTCGCAGTTCTGCTATAAAAATCAAGGCTTGTAATATAACTCCACACTGTCTATGGATGTTTTGGATCTCGCTTTTTCTCTCTTATGACAGATCTCCAGCACTGCAGTATTTTGCTTCTGCGACTGATTTTTGTTTTTATTCACAATTTTAACTATTGACATCTTGGAATTACCAGTCCCTAGAAACTTAACTGGACCACCATAATTGGCATAGCTAGGCTCAGCTCACAGAGTCTAGGTTCTATGGTCAATAACTCACCTTGTGATGCCCTGGACCCTGTCCATCATTTAAAAGGCACAAGTCAGGATAATGAGAGTCCAGAGTCAATATGTTGCTATTAGTGTAAAGGGCAAGGTTGGTAGCTGTAGGGAATGCTGAATGACTAGAGAAGTTGAGGCTCTGGTCAAGAAAAAGGAGGCACAGGGCAGGTATAAGATTGAATGAATCCCTCAGAGTATAAAGGCAATACAGTATACTTAAGAGGGAAATCTGGAAGACAAAAACGGGACGTGAGATAGCTTTGGCCAATAGGGTTAAAGAGAATCCAAAAGGATTCTACAAATACATTAAGGGCAAAACAGTAACTAGAGAGAGAATAGGGCCCCTTAAAGATCATTAAAGTCATCCATGTATGGAACCACAGGAGACGGGTGAGATACTAAACAAGAATTTTGTCAGGTATTTTCTGTGAAGAAGGATGTGAAAGCTGGACAACTTGGAGAAATAAACAGTGATATCTTCAAAAGTGTCCATATTATACAGGAGGAGGTGCTGAATGTATTAAAATTTATAATTTCAAATAAATCCCTGGGACCTGATCAAGGTGTATCCCAGAACATTGTGGGAAGTTAGGGAAATGATTAGGCCCCATGCTGAGATATTTGTATCATCAATAGCAACAGGTGTGAGGTGTTAGAAGACTGGAGGGTGGCTAACGTGCCATTATTTAAGAAATATGGTAAGGAAAAGCCAGGGAACTATACAGCGGTGAGCCTGACTTCAGTGATGGGTAAGTTATTGGAGGGGATTCTGAGGGACAGGATTTACGTGTATTTGGAAAGGCAAGGACTGATTAGAGATAGTTAACATGGTTTTGTGTGTGTGAAATTGTGTCTCGCTAACTTGATTGTCATTTCTTCAAAACAATTCAAAGAAGATTGATTATGACAGAGTGGTGGATGTTGTCTATGTGGACTTCAGCAAGGCATTTGACAAGGTTCTGTATGGTAGACTGGTTAGCAAGGTTAGATCATGTGGAATCCAGGGAGAACTAGCCATTTAGATTTTTTTTGTCAAAATTGGCTCGAAGGTAGGAGGCAGAGGGTGATGGTGGAGTGTTGCTTTTCAGAATGGAGGCCTGTGACCAGTGGAAGTGCCACAAGGAAGGATGTTGGGTTCATTGCTTTTTGTTATTTATATAAATAACTTGGATGCTAATACAGGAAGAATGGTTAGTAAGTTTGCAGATGACACGAAAATTGGTGGACAGTGAAGAAGATTATCTCAGAATCCAATGGGACCCTTGACCAGATGCGCCAATGGGCCAAGGAGTGGCAGATGGAGTTTAATTTAGATAAATGTGATGTGTTGCATTTTGGTAAGGCAAACCAGGGCAGGACTTATACAGTTAATGGTAGGGTCCTGGGGACTATTGCCAAACAAAGACACCTTGGGGTGCAGGTTCATAGTTTCTTGAAGGTGGAGTCACAGGTAGACAGGATAGTGAAGAAGGTGTTTGGTGCAGTAACCTTTATTGGCCAGTGCATTGAGTATAGGAATTGGGATGCTATACTCCAGCTGTACTGGACAGTGGTTAGGTCACTTTTGGAATACTGTATTCAGTTCTGGTCTCCCTGCTACAGAAAAAGATGTTGTGAAACCTGAAAGGGTGCAGAAAAGATTTACATGGATGTTGCCAGGGTTGGAGGGTTTCAGCTATAGGCAGAGGCTGAATAGGCTGGGGCTATTTTCCCTGGAGCGTTGGAGGCTGAGGGGTGACCTTTATAGAAGTTTATAAAATCATGAGGGGAATGGATAGGGTGAATAGCCGAGGTCTTTTTCTCAGAATAAGGGAGTTCAAAACTAGAGGGCATAGCTTTAAGGCGAGAGGCGAAAGATCTAACAGGGGCAACTTTTTCACAGAGGGTGGTGCATGTATGGAATGAGCTCAGAGGAAATGGTGGAGGATGGTACAATTACAGCATTTAAAAGGCATCTGGATGAGTACATGAATAAGAAGGGCTTACAGGGATTATGGGCCAAAGATGGCAAATGGGACTGGATTAATTTAGAATATCTTGTCAGCATAGGTGAGTTAGACTAAAGGGTCTGTTATCGTACTGTACAATTCTATGACTTTGTGATTCAGGATATGATAGAACGTTCCTCATGTTCCTAACTGCATGAATCTTGGGCAAAGGAGTCAGCTTGACTAGCACCCCCTCCATCTTCTTAAACATCCACTCCCTCCACCATTGCTACATGATAGCAACAATGTGTATCATGGACAAGGTGCTAAACTTCAAATAACAACAACTTACAAGCCTGCAACATCTGCCTCCAAGAATGTCTTGCTGCCTCCAAGCATCAGATGTAGTTACGCATAAGTGCTGGGCCTCCGACTGAGTTTGTAATCACGGCCTCATTGAGCATGGTCAGTACCTTGCCTGCTGTGACCATGCAAACGGATGTGCTGTTTGTTGTGACAGGCGGTTTGCCCTTGTGGGACACTCTAAAACCAGAGGGCATAATCTCAATGAGGGGGTTACACATTTTAAGACAGTGACAAGGAGGAATAACAAGGTGTGGAGCTGGATGAACACA